GAGACACAGAGACACAGAGACACAGAGACACAGAGACACAGAGACACTTTAAAGTTTATTTTAAAGCTTCCCAATGACCAGGGAATCCAGAACCAGGAGTCACAGTTCAAGGATATGAGGAGGCCATTTGGGACTAAGATGAAGAGAAATTATTTCATCCACACAGCTGAACTCGTGGAATTCTGTCACAGAAGGTAGTTGAGGACAAAACAATGAATGCTTTCAAGGAGGAGTTAGATATAGTGCTTAGGGCTAAAGGGATCAAAGTATGGGGAGAAAGCAAGAGAGGATACTGAATTCAATGATCAGCCACGATCATACTGAATGACAAATCAGGCTCAAAGTTACTAATGGCCTACACCGATTCTATTTTCTATGTTTTTTGAGGATATTTTCCTGTTACTTGTCCTTTGAAAGGTTTTTTAAAAAAAGTGACGCACTATTCAGCTGTCAGCCACAAACCAGGATATAACACAAGAATGATGTTCAAACTATCTTCAAGAATTTTACAGTCATAATAGGAGTCCTTTCAGATTCAAAACATTAACAATTTCTCTCTCCACAGATGCTGCCAAACCAGCTAAATTTCTCCAGCATTTTCTGTTATCATTGTTATGCAGCAGGTACATCAGTTCGGATCTTGACAAAAAAAAAAGCGCAGATAGAGATGAACAACCATAATATGGTACATGGACAACTCCTCATTAGCCATGTCATTGAACAACGATGTCACCAACAAATAAAAGGTCAGTCACTTTGGGCCTTTTCAGTTTTCTTGTTCTAGAAGGTGGCAAAGAACATTTGGTTAAGTCCAACCCAGTTGCTGTATCCATAGATACAATTTTACTTTGTAGATTGGGATGGGGGTAGAGCTTGGAAGAATCAGTACTCAAGAGCCCCAAAAATTATAGGTCAATCTTGCAGGTGGCCAAATCAGCAAAATCCATCTGGGGCACATTAAAGGAACTCTGATACAAAGTGGCATCCAATACGTACAATTCTTCTGGAAACACCTTGGGAGCCAGTTTAGAAGCTAACAGGTGAATGGGTCCTCCTTTGATAATGGAAATTTGACTTGACTCTTTCACAGATGAGCTGCTCAACCCCCACAGTGAGTAGATCAGCCTTCATTGTTCATGCAAACTGTTATGAAATTGACTTAAATCAGTTTCCCCTGTCAATGAAACCCCCAGGAAAATGCATAAAGATCACACACATCTGTATCCTACTCTGGTTCTAGCAATTCAACTAGAATGAAAATGATTGCCTACTTTTTTCTGAAATGGGGCCTGGTAAGGATCCTTGATGTCAAATAGAAATGATTTGACCAATGTCTCCATTGTCATTGCATACCTTCCTTGCAACTCTCTCATATATTCTGGCCATTGCTGCTGGTATTCTTCCTCCACTCGCTCTTTCTCTGGTCGAAACATGCAACCTTGCATGAATCTCCTCTTGGAGGACGGTCTCCGAATTTCTTGAGTTTGTGGACGATACCTAAGTCAAAATGCAAATGGGCATTAAAGAAACTGCTACTAGTAATGATAATGTTTATTAACAACTTTACAACTGCACACCCATTTTATGTGTTTTTCACCAAGTTGTGTGCTTTAATAAATTGAAAAAATTCAATGCCAAACGTTTACACTGCGCAACTGCCTCAAGATAACTGTCTCTAACTCATCTCATCTACACACACAGCAGAGAGAACAGAACACCCTGCATTCACTTTATAGTGATGACTTCAAGTGAAAGCCCATCCAGATCATTGACAAAGTGACTTACTGGAGCAACTCAATGACATCTTCCAAGATGTATTCCTTTACTGGATATGTGAATCCTGGAATATGCAACATGGGACAGCTGTCTGTAAGAAAATGGAGCAGACCGTCACTTTCCTGAACAATGAAGAGAAATTTATTTTAATCCCGGTAATTATTTGTCACAAATTATCAGGAGCCATTATGTTCAGAAGTGAAAAACTGGAGCAGAACACTCCGTTTCAAGATTTCTACAGGATAAAAAGAGAAAAAAATCGCCGTTGCTGTAAATCAAAAAAATTTGCTGGAAGAACTCAGTAGGTCTGGCAACATCTGTGGACAGAAATCAGAGTTAACATTTCAGGTCCAGTGACCCTTCCTCAGAACTTTACAGGATTGCCCCCCAGACGCCAGTGTAACCTGGGCCAAATCAAATTGGTTTGTCTTAAACACTGCAGAATTTTAAATGCAAGTGAGTTATAGTTTAGACTGGAGTATTCATGACCTTTTCCACTTGTTCAAAGGTCTGCACAACCACTTACTGCCCTAAAATATAACCACACTCAGATTGGAATGGCAAGATTCCACGAATTGCACCTGTTTCACACTGTTAATAAACTTGATGAACATTAGTAAATTATAGTTGTTTATATACATGTTTATTTGGTTCCTAACTCACTCGTTCAAAAAGCAGAGGCTACAGTGTTTTCTCAAATTTTTTGGTGAGGGATTTAAAGCTCCTGTGAAGAGGCATTTATTTAGACTACAGACCACAAGACGTAGCAGTAGAAATAGGCAGTCAGCCCATCAAGTCTGCTTTGTCATTCAATGAAGTCAGAAATCACATGACACCAGGTTATAGTCCAACAGGTTTATTTGAAATCAGAAGCTTTCATAGCACTGCTCCTTCATCAGGTGAAGTCTGACACTTCACCTGACAAAGGAGGAACGCTTTGAAAGCTTGTGATTTCAAATAAACCAATTCAACTATAATCTGGTGTCATGTGACTTCTGACTTTGTCAGCTCCAGTCCGACACAGGGGCCTCCACATCATGCATGTCACTCAATGAGATCATCGTCCATCTGATAATTCCCAACTCCACTTTCCTGGTTTTTCCCTATAACCTTAAATTCCATGATTAAAAATTTGTCCATATCTCAGCCTTGAATATGCTCAATGGCCAAGTCTCAATAGCCCTCTGTATAAGAATTCCACAGATTCACAACCCTTGGTGGAGAAACTCCCCATCTATCTTATATGTACAAACTCTGATTCTGAAATTATGTCCTCTGGTCTGAGACTCTCCCACAAGAGAAACCAACCTCCCCGCATCTTCTTTCAAGTCTTCAAAAAATCTCGTATGTTTCAATAAGGTTGCTATCTAAATTTCATTGACTACAGGCCCAACCTCTCTTCGTAAGAGGGTACCTCATACCAGGTATCAGCTGAATGAACCTTCTCTGGACTGCATCCAATCCCAGTATAACTTTCCTTAGATAAGGGGCCTGAAACCGTTCACTATGTTCCAGTTGTGGTCCGACTAGTGTCTTGTATAATTTGAACAAAACCTCCCTACTATTATACTCCATTTCCTTTGAAATAAAGGCCAGCATTCCATTTATCTTCCCAATTGGCTGCTGAGCCTGGATGCTAACTTTTTATGATTCATGGACGAGGACTCCCAAATCCCTTTGTGCTGTAGCTTTTTGCAGTCTTTCTCCATTTAAATAATGTTCAGTTACTCTATTCTTCTTGCAAGTGCATAACCTCACATTTTCCCCACATTATATTCCATCTGCCAAGTTTTTGACTACTTGTTTAACCTATCTATATTCATCTGGCCACTCTTCCTCACCCCTTGTTTTCCAACCCACTTTTGATTCGTATGCAAATTTGGCTACCTACATTCACTTTCTTCATCCAAGTCATGAATATATATTGTAAATAACCATGGCACTCCACTCCATCCTGAAAATGGCCCCTTATCCCACTCTGTCTCTTCTATTAGATGGACACTCTTCTATCCATACTAATAGACAACCTCTCTGGGTCAGATTTTACAAGCTGCTGTTAACATCTCTTATTCCAAAGGCACAATGAAAGACAATTATTAACCACTGGTCAGCATGTGCGTTGAAACGAATAGCAGCAGTGCTGGTTCTTGACCCTGGAAGTGTCTCAATCCTCAGCAACTGCAACAAAAAATCCTCCATTTGTAAATTCACAATTTAACCAAAACACAGTTTAATCTTTCTGATCTGCATCCTTTAAAAGTCCAGGAAGTCAGAATCACAAGCAAATGACTTGCACATTTTTAAAGAAAACTAAAGGCTTTTCCACTAGGATATCTTCAATCTAATCAAAAGGAAAGAAAATTACAGTATCAATCTCTTGCTGTAAATTTAAATTTAAATTTAAATTCAATATCAAGCACAGAGTGGTGAACCATTTTATTGCACTTTCCAGATTTTGGGAAAACACAGCCAGAGATCAGAGTATCTACTTCTTTCCACATCTTCGTTGCATTAGTATTGCATTCATTCTCAGGATGTAGACATTGCTGGCAAGGTTGACCTTTGTTACACATCCTACACATATTCATGCCCCATGAGCTTTCTTTTTGAAGAGGCAGGAAAGATGTGGCCAAGTGGCTTGCTAAACCACTCCACACTGCTATTAAGAGTTAACCTGCGTAACCAATGTAAAGACAGACTGCAAATACTTTGCATCAAGGGTTATTAAGGTTCATTGGTTATGCCCTAAAATCAGACACCCTGGTCACCAGGCAGAAAGACAGCACAAACATTAAACACAAGCCAAAAATCATTGGGAAGAATGAGGAGAAACAAACAAAAAGAGAAATTTTCAGGTCTCTGGAGGAAGAGTAGAGAAATTAATTGCGTTGCTCTCTCAAAGCGCCAATGTAGGTTTCCTTCAGTGCTGAATACTTCAGTTAATTTTAAGAAGCCAATAGCCTGAACTCACTGAAGTTACAACATGAATTTGCCAATCCTACTTACCAAAATATTCTGAAAACTTGTTGGCATTTAGAGTTGCACTCATCAATATCACCTTCAGATCTGGCCTGAAAGGCAGAATGTCCTTCACAATTGTCATCAGGACATCTGACTGCAAACTTCTCTCATGAACTTCATCCAAAACAAGGTGACTGACAGTAGACAGAAGACTGTGGAAAGAGATGTGTTTTTCGTGTTATGAGACTGTGCCAACTATATCATTTTGAGAAAGAAATTGGAATTTGAGAGTAAGCAGGTAGTGTTTGGAGTTGGGCAATACATAATTAAGAATATATCCTGAATAAAATGAACTATACACCATAATTATTAGTTCTGTACTCACGAGTCTGACTGAAGCCACTGGAGAATGATTCCAGTAGTGCAGTATAAGATGGAACCCTGTTTCCGTGGCAGGCGGCTGTTAAGCAAGACAGAAAATGTTTTATAAAAACATTGGGAAACATACTTTCCATCAACCAGCTCCCCTCTAAGTCAACTTGTTCAGAAGTGGAAATTCAGTAGCAGCAGTGCTCAGTGGGCACTACCCACTTCAATCTCAGAATCTTATAGGTTAGGGTGTCACTTCATGTCTTCAAAATTTAGGCTGACACTCCAGTGCAATATCAATAGTGCCCTGAAAATTTGGATAAGCCCTCTTACAGATGAGATGTTAAACCCAGGCCCTGTCTGCCCTATCGACAGCACATACAAGATTTCAAGCTATCATTTTGAACAGGAAGAAGGAAATTCAGTTTAACTTTTATCTTCCAACCAACAGTACAAAAAACAGATTATCATAATGCTGCTGACGGGACAACACTTCATGTTTCAGAAGCACAGAATGAGGAATTGGGAGGGCCGAGTATATAAGTTTCTTTGAAAGCCAGGAGTGACGAAACTGATCGTTCCACATCCTGTGAACTTTTTTCAAAAGTTATTCATTCCCAGAATGTGGGCAATTCTGGCTAAGCCAACATTATTACCCATCCCTAATTGCCCAAAAGGCAGTTAAGCAAGAATCATATTACCGAGAGTCTGGTGTTGCACATGTTTCAGGCCAAGAGGACAGCAAATTTCCTCTCCCAAGGGACATTAGTGAACCAGATGAGTTTTTTTCTGACAGCTGACAGTGGTTACAGGTCACCATTAGGTCAGCTCTCAATTCGAGACTTCATTAAATCCAAATTTCACCATCTGCCACAGATTTGAACCCTGTCTCTGGATTCTGGATTGCTAGCCCAGTGACATTTCACTATGCAGTGGCATAGAGGCAAGAAGGCTCGACAATTAGAGTCTAGAGATAAAGAAATTTTAAAAAGAGCCGAAGTGAAAATAAATGGATGGGCTCAGGTCCTGAGAGACAGCAAATTCAATGCAAGAATGGATGAAGGAAGACACTCGAGAAAACTCCCTTATTCTCCTTCAAAATAGTGCATGGATCTTTTATGTTCACCTGAGCATGCAAATAGGGCCTTGATTTGATATCTTGTGAGATAGCATTTCATACAGTGGAACACATCTCCAATATTGCTGTGGAATGTCAGCTTATACTTAATGCTCCAGTGGGACTTGAACCAACAACTTCCTCAGACGCAGGAGTGCTACCAGTTGATACAGACTGTTACAGCTGAAAAAGACTGAATGAGCTGATTAAATGCAACTCTAAGAAAATCTGGAGTAATCCTGATCAAATCCACAAAAAAGTTCACAAGAAATCAACTATTTTATATGCAGAACAAGTATTTTTAGTTCGTTTACACAATTGAACCGAGTGTCTCAGTCACACTCAGGAGATAATGAAAGGCCAAATATAGTTTCATTAATTAATGCAAGGTGTCATCATTATACAGGAAGAGCAGTGAAAAGGAAGCAGTGTTCAAAATCTAATATTAGCTTCAATATTTGAAATGACATTGGATGCTAGGTTGAGCTTTAATCATTCCATTCACGGAATCAACCTTCTGATCGGTCTTATTTGCAGTGTCTTGATCAATACATTTCCCACAAATGACATTAAGACGATGGATTATCTAATCATTATCGCATTTGCTGTTTGCAGGAACTGGCTGTATGCAAACTAGATGCGGCTTTTCCTACAGGACAACAGTGGCTACATTTAAAAAAAAAAAGTACTTGATTATTTGTAAAGCACTTTAGAACAATTTGAGATTATGAGCAGCTAAACTAATACCTGTAATGGACGGGATGTTTTATGAGAAAAGCTCAGACAGGCTCGACTAGTACCCATTGGAGTTCAGGGGATTTTTATTCATTCATGAGTTGTGGATATCGCTGGCTGGGTTATTGTCCATGCCTAATTGCCCTTCAAAAGTGGGGTGATGAGTTTCTTCAACTGATTTTTTAAGATTTTTTGATGTAGGTACATTTGATGTGTTTGGGAGGGAGTTGCAGAATTGTGACCCAGCAACAGTGATTGGACAGCAATGCATTTCCAAGTCAAGATGTTGAGTTTCAAGGGACACTTGCAGATGGAGGTGTTGCCATGTATTTGCTGCCCTTGTTCTTCTAGATAGCAGTCATCATGGATTTGGAAGGTGTTATCTAATGATCCTTGGTGAATTTCCAAGGTGAATATAGTGTGTATATAGTACACACTGCTGTCACTGATAGATGGTGAAAGGAATGAATGTTTGTGGATATAATGCCAATCATACAGGCTACTTTATTCTGGAGGGTATCAAGCTTCTTGAGTGTTGTTGGACTTACATTCATCCATTCAAGTGGTAAATATTCACTGACACTCCTGTCCTGTGCCACGTTGATGGTGGGTAAGATTTGGGGTTCAGGTGATGAGCTACTTACTGCAGAGATGTTAGCCTCGGACCTGCTTTTGTCGCCACAGTATTTACGTGACTATCCCAACTCAGTTTCTGATTAGTCGTAACACCCAGGATACTGACAGTGGGGATTCAGTGAAGGTAATGCCACTGAATGTAATGGGATGATGGTTAGGTTCACTTTTGCTAATCAGGGCAAATCAGGACAGAACTTATGTACTTAACAGTAAATTCGTGGGGAGTGTTGCCAAACAAAGAGGCCTTGGGGTACAGGTTCATAGTTCCTTGAAAGTGGAGTCGCAGGTAGACAGGGTGGAGAAGAACACGTTTGGTAAGCCATCTTTTATTGTTCAGTGCATGGAGTATATGAGTAGGGAGATCACATTGTACTGTACAGGACATTCGTTAGGCCACTTTTAGAATACTGAGTGCAATTCTGGTCTCCCTGCTTTAAGAAAGTTGTTGTGAAACTTGAAAGGGCTCAGAAAAGATTTACAAGGATGTTGCCAGGGTTGGAGGATTTCAGCTATACGGAGAGGCTGTGGTTATTTTCTGCGCAGCATCAGAGGCTGAGGGGTGACCATATAGAGGTTATCAAATCATGAGGGGAAGGGGTAGGGTGAATAGCTAAGGTCTTTTCCCCAGGGTAGGGGAAATCCAAAACTAGAGGGCATAACTTTAAGGTTAGAGCGGAAAGATTTAAAAGGACCTAGCGGCAACTTTTCCACGCAGAGGGCGTTGTGTGCATGGAATGAGCTGCCAGAAGTGGAAGAGGAGGCTGGGGCAATTACACCATTTAAAAGGCTTCTGGATAAGTACATGAATAGAAAGGGTTTAAGAGGGCCATAGGCCAAATGCTGGCAAATGAGACTAGATTAATTAAGAGTATAGTTGGCATGGACAAGTTGGATGGAAGGGCTTGTTTCTGTGCTGTACATTTCTATGACTCTGTGCCATAAATAGTCATTGCCTGTGTGGGATGAATATTACTTGTCAGCCTAAAACAGAATATTGTCCATTTCTTGCTGCATTTGGGCATGAACTGCTTCAATACCTGAGGGGTCATAAACGGTGCTCAACATTATGCAATCATCGGCGAATATCCCCACCTCTGACCATAAGAGACACAAAGTCATTGAAGCATCTTAAGATGTTTGGGGCTAAGACACTCTCTTGACCAACCCCTGCAGAGACGTCATGGAGCGGAGATAACCGACCTCCAACAAGCCACAACCATTCTTCCTTCACACTGGTATGACTACAAGCAGCAGAGGCCTTTCCCGTTTCCACTTTTGCTAGGGATGCTTGATGTTGTTTTTGATGTCAAGGTCATTCACTCTCATTTCACTTCTGGAGTTCAGCTCTTTGGTCCACGTTTCAACAAAGACTGCAACAAGGTCACGGGCTGAGGGGCCCTGGCATAACCTAAACTGACCAAGTGCTGCTGTACAACAATGTTGATGACTCTTTCCAGTACTCTACATGGTCACAAGTAGAAGCCTAGGCCATTTTCCACAGTGTTGTGGCCATACTGATACACAATGGCTAGAGCTGCAAGACTGCAGCACGTCTTCAATACTTTCCCTAGAATGCGGTCAGGGCCAATAGCCTTTGTAGTATCTAGTACCTTCAGCCATTTCTTGATATCATGTGGAGTGAATCAAATTGGTCAAAAACCTGCACCTGTTGCTGCAGACTTCTGGAATAAACCAAAATGGATCAGCCACTTGGCACTTCTGGCTGAAATTTGTTGCAGATACACCAATGTGTTGGGCTCGCCCATCGAGGGTAATGGGGTTGTTTATGGAGCCTCCTCCACCAACGAGCAATTTAACTTTCCAGCACCATTCATGACCGGATGTGGCAGGACTGGAAAGCTTAGACCTGATCAGTTGGCTGTAAGATTGCTTAGTCCTATCTATCACTTGTTGCTTACTTTGTGTTGTAGCTTCACTATGGTGGCTCTTCATTGTTACATATGCTTGGTGCTGCTTCTAGCATACCATCTTGCAATATTCATTGAACCAGTGTTGATCCCTGGTTCAATGGTGTGGAGGAATGGAAAATATGTCAAGACTTGAAGTTACAGATATCAGAGTACAATTCTGCTGCTGCTGATGGCTCATAGCATCTCATAAATGCGCAGTACCGAGGTGACAGATCTTTTTAAAGTCTATCTCATTTAGATTGGCAGCAGTGTCACACTACACAGAGGATATCTTCACCGTGAAAACGGGACTTTGCCTCCAAAAGGACTATGCAGTGGTCACTTCTTCTGATAATGTCATGGACAAATACATCTGTGACAGGCTGAATTGATAGGATGAGGTTCAAGTATTTTTTTCTTGTTGATTTCTTCCCTAATTTCCAAAGACAGGGCAGATCCAGTAGGTGTGTCCTTTAAGACTCACCAAGCCACAGTCTGTAGCAATGCGGCTGAGCCAATCTTGGGGATGGAAAATGAGGTCCCCCATCCATAGTAAATCCTGTGCCCCTGCCACCCTCAGTGTTTCCTCCAAGTGGTCCTGATGCACAATTACATAGTAATCAGTAGGACATTTCTTTGACTACGTTTTGACCTGGTGCCATGAGACCTCATGGATTCCAGAGTTAGTGCTGAGGACTTCAAGGATGATTCCTGCTTGACCAAGTATCACTCAGCCACCACATCTGTACTGATAGTGGGACAGGGCATATCCACTGATGCTGACAGTGCTGTCTGGAACATTGTTTTTAAGGTATGATTCCGTGAATATTACTGTATCAGGTTATTGTTTAGCATTGTGATCAAGAAGCAACTGGATTGAAACATAAAAGATCCTGAGAGGCCTTGACAGGTCGGATGAACAAATTTTCCTTTCGGAAGAATCTGGAACACAGAGTTACCGTTTAAAAATAACAGGTCATACATTTAATACAGACAGATGAGGAGTCTTTGAGGATCGAGTGTCTTTGGAACTCTGCTTCCACTGAGGAAGGAAGTCTTTGAATAATTAAGGTAGAGGTCAATAGATTCTTGATAAGAAAGTGGGTGAAAAGTAATGGCAGCATGGGGAAAGAAGAGAGGGAGACAGAGTGGGAGAGAATGCAAGTAGAGTCATCAGATCATCCACGATTTCAATGTGAGTTCTTTCTCACTGTGCACAATCAATGTTTTCCCAAAGCAGGATGCCATCAAAGATAGCCACTGAGAGTACTGTGCATGCACATCAGGCACAGAGTGTACAATTCAAGGTAGTGATGTTCCAACAGGAACATTTTTGGAGTGCAGAACAAACACAAGCAGTTTTTCTCCTCAAACAACAAGGTGCAGGGGTGGATGAACACAGCAGGCCAAGCAGCATCATAGGAGCAGAAAGGCTGACGTTTCGGGCCTAGACCCTTCATCAGAAAAGGGAGAGGGGAAGGGGGTTCTGAAATAAATAGGGAGAGAGTGGGAGGCGGATAGAAGATGGATAGAGGAGAGGATAGGTGGAGAGGAAACAGACAGGTCGAAGAGGCGGAGTTGGAGCCAGTAAAGGTGAGTGTGGGTGGGGAGTTGGGGAGGGAATAGGTCAGTCCAGGGAGGACGGACAGGTCAAGGGGGCGGGATGAGGTTAGTAGGTAGGAGATGGGGGTGCGGCTTGAGGTGGGAGGAGGGGATAGGTGGGAGGAAGAACAGGTTAGGGAGGCGGGGATGAGCTGGACTGGTTTTGGGATGCGGTAGGGGGAGGGGAGATTTTGAAGCTTGTGAAATCCACATTGATACCGTTGGGCTGCAGGGTTCCCAAGCGGAATATGAGTTGCTGTTCCTGCAACCTTCGGGTGGCATCGTTGTGGCACTGCAGGAGGCCCAGGATGGACATGTCGTCTGAGGAATGTCCTCATTTTTCAAGGACCGTAACTTCCCCCCCTCAGTGGTCAAGAACGCCCTCAACCGTGTCTCCCACATCTCCCGCAACTCATCCCTCACACCCCGTCCACGCAGTAAGAACCAAAAAAGAATCCCCCTCGTCCTCACGTACCACCCCACCAACCTCCAGATCCAACGCATCATCCTCCAACACTTCCGCCATCTGCAATCCGACCCCACCACCAAAGACATCTTTCCCTCCCCACCCTTATCTGCTTTCCAGAGGGACAACTCTCTCTGTGACTCCCTTGTCCGCTCCACACTCCCCTCCAGCCCCACCACACCCGGCATTTTTCCCTGCAACCGCAGGAAGTGCTACACCTGCCCCCATACCTCCTCCCTCACCCCCATCCCAGGCCCCAGGAAGACTTTCCACATCAAGCAGATGTTCACCTGCACATCTGCCAATGTGGTATACTGCATCCGGTGTGGCCTCCTCTACATCGGGGAAACCAAGAGGAGGCTCGGGGACCGCTTTGCAGAACACCTACGCTCGGTTCGCAATAAACAACTGCATCTCCCAGTCGCAAACCATTTCAACTCCCCCTCCCATTCCTCAGACAACATGTCCATCCTGGGCCTCCGGCAGTGCCACAACGATGCCACCCGAAGGTTGCAGGAACAGCAACTCACATTCCGCTTGGGAACCCTGCAGCCCAATGGTATCAATGTGGATTTCACAAGCTTCAAAATCTCCCCTCCCCCTACCGCATCCCAAAACCAGTCCAGCTCGTCCCCGCCTCCCTAACCTGTTCTTCCTCCCACCTATCCCCTCCTCCCACCTCAAGCTGCACCCCCATCTCCTACCTACTAACCTCATCCCGCCCCCTTGACCTGTCCGTCCTCCCTGGACTGATCTATCCCCTCCCCAACTCCCCACCTACACTCACCTTTACTGGCTCCATCCCCACCTCTTCGACCTGTCTGTTTCCTCTCCTCTATCCATCTTCTATCCGCCTCCCACTCTCTCCCTATTTATTTCAGAACCCCCTTCACCTTCCCCTTTTCTGATGAAGGGTCTAGGCCCGAAACGTCAGCCTTTCTGCTCCTATGATGCTGCTTGGCCTGCTGTGTTCATCCAGCCCTGCACCTCGTTGTCTCGGATTCTCCAGCATCTGCAGTTCCTACTATCTCTGATTCAGTTTTTCTCCTCTTTGGGCCATTTATTTAGTTCACACATCTATAACTTACAAAACAGGCTGGATAATAATAGTGACTAGAGGAGTGGAAATCATCTCACCTAGTGTTACTGCTGTATGTATTCAGTTTGCCTGTTATACCACTGTTCTAATCACAGGCCAAAGGAACTATTTGATCAATGGACAAACTCAAATCATTTGACGTTTACACATGATTGGGCAGCACATGGATGCTTTGAACTACAGAATCTGGTAACTGAGTTCATCTCTGGCACAACTGGAACAGTGTCAGAATAAATGAGCCTTTCTCGCATTGGCAGGTTGAGAGCAGTGTGGTTTCACAAGCAACATACTCGAGACCCCAGCTGCTCATAATATATATGAATCATTTGGAAGTGGGCACCAAATGTAATAGTTTAAAATTTGCAGGTGATACAAAACCAAGGGAGAACGTGTTGCAAGGAAGATGAAAAGTTGCTTCAAGGGGATTTGGACAGGCTTAGTGAATGGATAGTAATGTGGCAGGTGGAAGATAAGGTTGAAAAATATTAGGTTATCCACTTGGCCAAGAGGAAGAGACGTACACAGCATTTCTGAAATGGTAGGAGGTTGGAAAATATGGATGTGCAAAGGGACATGGGTGCCCTTGTCAGTAAGTCAATGAAGGTTAACGTGCAGGTGCAGCAAGCTATTAGGAGGACTAATGGAATGTTAGCCTTTCTCACAACAGGATTTGAGTTGGGGTGTAGTGAAATCTTGATTCAATTGCATAGAAGTTTAGTTAGATTAAGTACTATGTGCAGTTTGGGCTTCTTATCTCAGGGAAGATATTATTGTCATTGAGGGAATGTAACAAAGGTTCACCAGACTTGATTATAGGATGGCGGGACTGTCCGTTGAACAGAGTTGGGCAAACGGGGCTTGTATTCTCCAAAGCTTTGAAGAATGATTCACAAAAATGTACAAAATATTTAATAAGATAGACAGGGCAGATGCAGATGTTTCCCCGGACTGGGAAGTCTGAAACCAGGGGACCCTTAAACTAAGTGCAATGCCACTTTGGGGACATGGAGGTAAAAGAGCTTAAGTGATTGATCAGCCACGATCATACCGAATGGTGGAGCACGATCAACAGACTAAATGGCCAAATCCTATTCTAATGAACAATTCACAAGCACTGATCATTGCTTATTCCAACTCCCATAAGTTAAGAAATGGGTGGTACTAACCTCTGTAACCTGATCTGGTAACCAGTACTGTTCCCATCACCGCAGGCTTCAGCTCTTTCTGCTGCGACCCTCTCAGCTATCTGAAAGTACAAAAGCAAAACAAAAAACTTACAGGCAACAAAAAGAGTAGGTCATTTAGCCCTAACCTTACAGCCTTTTGCTCCATTATTTCTCAATGTCCTCACCCAACAAAAATTCATTGATTTCAGTCCTGAAAGCTCCAAAAGAACTCTTAGTATCCACTGCTGACTTGTTTTCCAGGTTTCCACTACCTACTGGTAAAGAAATCATTCCCGATTTCACTCCTGTACGCCTTGGCTTTAATTATAAGATTATTTTTCTTTGTGTTTGAATCCCTCCTCAAAAGGAGATCATTTCTCTGCATCTACCCATGGGAATACAATGACGTGATGGTAATTTCATGGGACCAGTAGTCCAGAGGCCCAGGCGAATGCTCTGAAGACATGGGTTCAAATCCTATCACGGTAGCTGGAGAAGTTCCATTCAATGAATGCAGTCTGGAATCATGAAGCTATTATCACCTGTCACAAGAATCCATCATCCAATGCCCTTTAGAGAAAGAAGCCTGCCAAGCTTATCTGGGCTGGCCTACACATGACTCCAGAGTCACAGTAATCTGGATGCCTCTTAATTGTGTCCAAAACAACCTATCAAGCCCCTCAGTTCAAGGGCAATTTTGGATAGGCAACAAATGCTAGCCTTGCCAGTGAAAGACAAACATTCCCAGAGAAAATTAAAAACCTCACTGAATCTTAATTCTCCACTAGGAAAAGAGCTGCCCAAGACGAACTGAACTAAGGGGTAATGTTACTTACTGCCGCCATTTAAACTGGATCATGAAAATCCAGATTCAGCTCTTACTGAATATCAAGAGTTTACAGCAGAACATAAATACAAGATGACCAGACCTCATTTGTGAAACAGGAGCTGTGATTGCAGAATGGTAAACTTAGAAGTAAAACAACTTCAAAGCTAACATCACTTGAACACAATATTTAGCAGAGAAAATGACACTGCTCCAGACTATATTCCAAGGATGTGCAGGGATCTGCCCCACTTAAGATGCATATCATAAAACCATAAAACATAGATGTCGAAGCAGGCTGATCAGTTCATCAACTCTACTCTGCCATTCATCAACATTAAGGCTGAAGAAATTCCTCCTCATTCCTGACTTAAAAGGATGACCCCTTACTCAGATTATGTCCTCTGATTCTAGATTGTCCCACAAGAAAAAAAATAACCTTCCCACATCTACCCTGTCAAGCGCCCTAAGAAGCTTATATGTTTAAATGAGGTCACCTCTCATTTCTCTGAACCCCCATGAGTAAAGGCATAACATACTCAACCTCTCCTCCTAAGACAGAGTCTCTTCAAACCTGCGATCAGCTGAGTGAACCTTCTCTGGATTGCTTCCAATGCCAATATATCTTTCCTTAGATGAGGAAACCAAAACTATTCACGGTATTCCAGCTGTGGCCTGACTAGTGCCTTGAACAGTTGTAGCAAGACTTGCCAATTATTTTTGTATTCCATTCCCTTTGAAATAAATGCAATTATTCCATTTGCGTTCCCCATCACCTGAACTTCAAGATTTATGCAAGTGGACTTCCAAATCCATGCTGTAGGTTTTTTCAGCCTTTCCCTATTTAAATAATAATCAGCTCCTCTATTTGCCCTGCTAAAGTGCACGACCTTACATTTGCCCACATTATGGGGCCCAAACAAATAAACTTTGACATACTCAAAAGCATCAAATTAAAGGACTGCTTTAGTTTAGAAAAGATAGTTCTCAATTATCATAAAATCATTTAAAGATGCATCATTACTTATTCTCATTATACTAAAATATTTCCTCAAAAATGTATTATCTGCTTGAATTAAGTTTTTTTTAAAATCTGTGAAGTGCACTGCCAATTTAGGAGTTAAGTGCTAAACTGCTAACAGCTGCTCGTACATTCATAGGTTGGAAATTGAACTCGTTTTGAATACCAGCATTTGCTCTGTGCTGCCCAATGATTGCTTTGTTCACCAGTGCACAAAGCATCGGTCACTGGAGTGGTACAGTGTGAATAACCAAGGCTCATATGCAATATGTGGGCCACAGTCTACTGATTGGACACCTAGGCAAATCAGGTACTTGAGACAAAAAATAACCAGCGAGACTTACCGAGATTGCGCTGATTCGTCGAGGCTGAGTACACACAACCCTGCACAGAGAGCCCTTGCCTCTCTCAATGTAGTCATCCAGAATGAACTGGGTCACTTGCGTGGTCTTCCCACAACCTGTTTCTCCGCTTATGACAAGCACCTGATTTTCATTGATCAAGTCCACAACCTCCTGCAGTGCAGATTTGGTTTATAAAAAACACACTGTTAGTCGAGGCGTACATCCTAGAAACTACAGTACTCACATTCCAATTATCATTACTCATTATTCAACATAATTATTGCAGGATCCAATTTCTTGCTTCTGTCTGAAGCCTGTTAATGTTACATGTGCTGCTGTCAAGTTTCATTCCCATGTCTATAGGTGCTGACTTTCAGATAAGACATTCTACTGGGGGCCCTGCCTGTCCCTTTAGCAGATATAAGAGAGGGGAGTTCATTCCAGTATCCTGACAAAATATTTTTTCCTAATTCAACACCTTTAAAGAATGGTGGGGCCATTTCTATTGTTTGTAGGACTGCACTGTAAAAATTTTGCACATTTTTGACTTTTGTTTTGCTTTAAACAAGGTGGTCTTTGACTAAAACATAAGCACATCATGCTGCAGATTTGGGTTTAACAATAGAGCAATCATTTATTCAGCAAAAAAGAATAAAATAGAATGACCCAAACTTTTACATACAACACACATTTAAAGATCTTGTAACATTAGTAAAACACAACCCTATTAATCCTAAAAGCACCCCTTCAAGGAACTCATACCAGAGGGATTCTCTTCTCCACCACATTTACAGGGTTTAATTCAACTGAAATTCCCAGTTTCAAGAATCTGATGGGCTGTTCAAGTCTTCCTATACATGATCTTAGATTTTCTACACTTCAAATAACTCCTTCAGGGTTTTAAATCAACCACTTTTTGTCTGACAACAAAAACTTTCAAAGAAAAAACTGTATAGTGAGGCAAGTTATTTCTTAACAGTTCTAAACCAGCTCTCTTCTTCAGGCACAACTGTCTAGTTTTAGTCATGATCTAAAACAAATCTGAGCTGAAATCCCTTTCTTCAAACTATGGGTGTTACCTCCCCAAGTCAAAAAAAATCCAGAATCTTCTATTTGAAGCCTAATGAGCAATACCTGACCTGATTCTCTCTCCCAATGAAAATAAAACCTTATTAGTCTTCACTAGCACCCTCTCCCTCATACTGCGCTTTAAAAGAAATGGTCATGGCTACAGAAATACTTACAAGTTTAATCCATAATCTCCTCATAGACACAGGCCAAACCAACATACCACTACCTCACAACCCAATCTCTAACATAGATGATCTTAAAATAAATAAGTCACACCCTACATTACAACCCCCCCAAAGAAAAATGAAAATGAATCTTTCAGAGGCATATTTTGTTATTCACCAAAAACTACCTTTAAAAACTACTTCCATGTTACACTAACAGCAGTAACATTAAACTTGCAAGGAGTTACACAGCAACCATATTTTGCTCATGTCTATGGAAATTACATCATTCTATCCCTCATATGTTCTTTTGATAAAGTGTCCCCTATAAAGTTTTCTTTTCCAGTTTCATGAGCAACTTTCAAATTATATGGTTGGAGAATTAAGCCCCACCTGAATAATTTTAAGTTCTTATCCCCAATTTTTCCAAGAAAATTAAAGGATTGTGATCAGTGTAAATAAGGGAATCTTTCACACAACGGGTGATGAACAATGTAGAGTCAAGACATGGCTCATGCTTTATTCTCCGCTGTGAAATAGTTTTGCTTACACGTCGTCAATTTCATTCAAAAGTCAAATAACAGGCCATTCAATCCTCATCTCATTGTCTTGCAAACAAACAGCCCCAGTGTCGCAGGTATTAACTGCCAGTTTGAATGGTTTTGCGTAATTCAGCACAGTTAAAATCAGTGTGGTTGTCAGTACAGCTTTCAAGTTTCAAAAATACTGACACTCTTACATCCATTCAAATTTTGTACCTATCTTCAATAAATTTGTTAAACATGCAACAACATTGAAGTTCAAAACAATCTTCCAACAAAATCCACTCATGCCAACATTATACAAAAATCGAGCATTTTGTTTTAGGCACAAGAAAATCCAAAATAGCCTGTACTTTAACCTTCTTAGGTGCTACTTGTCGCACTGTAGCCCAAATAAATCACTTTTGCCTCGGCAAATGCACTCTTAGCAGACATGCAATCAAATTGGCTCTCTGTAGCCAAACAGTTCAGTCAAATGATGTAAATGTTCCTTCCAGGTTTGGTTATGAACAGCCAAATTGTTGATGTAACTAACAGTTAAGTAATCCTTCAATAACATTACTTGTTAATTGCTGGAACACTGCAGTATGTTTTCATTTCAAACAGCATGACTTGGCACCTGAATTACTCTACCCAATGTCACAAAAGCCGATATTTTGCTGGTTCTATTAGTCAACGGAACTGCCAGTATCCTTTTATTAAGTTGATTTTTATGACATTCATGCACGTCTAATTTGGTCAAAGCAGTCCTTCAGTCTTATGAATTGAATACGAGCTAATTTTTAGTACCATATTTATATTGCGAGAAGCTGCACAATCTTTGTGATCCATCACAATAGTTGATCTTCAGTTACTTTGACTTTGTTCAATAATATCGTTGTCCATTATGAACTTAATCCTTTCTCTCACTTGAAATAACCCCTCTGGATTGAGTCTATCAAGATGCCTCACAGTTAACGCATCCTGCACGTTAGTAACATTATGGTTCATCATGATACTATGTTCTGGCCTATTCACAGAAATTGATTTAAAATTTTGTAATAACCTGCGTAAGTAACTGCATTAATGCTTTTGTAAAGCAAACCATAAGCGCGTCCTCTGTCATAGAGAAATACAGCACAGAAATAGACCCTTTGGTCCAACTCGTCCATGCCGATCAGATATCTAGTCCCATCCAGAATTGTACCAGCCTCCACCACTTCCTCTGGCAGCTCATTCCAAACACACACCACCCTTTGCATAAAAAAAGTTGCCCCTTAGGTTCCTTTTAAATCTTTCTCTCCTCACCTTAAACTAGAAGGCATAGGGAGTCGAAAACCTAACCCCAGGGAAAAGACTTGTCTATTTACCCTATCCATGCCCCTCATGATTTTATGAACTTCCATAAAGTAACCCTTCAGCCTCTGTGCTCCAGAGAAATTTGCCCCAGTCTATTCAGCTTCTCCCTATAGCTCAAACCCACCAACCCTAGCAACATCCTTGTAGACCTTTTCCGAACCCTTTCAAGTTTCACTACATTCATATAGCAGGGAGACCAGAATTGCACACAGTATTCCAATTATGGCCTAAACAATGTCCTGTACAGCTTCAATATGACCTCCCAACACCTAAACTCAATGCACTGACCAATAAGGGCAAGCATACCAAAAGCCTTCCTCACTATCCAAACTACTGGTGACTCAATTTCAAGGAACTATGAAACTGCATTCCAAGGTTTCTTTGTTCAGTCATCATACATTTTCACCAAGTTAATATTACACTCACTGATTCGCTCTCCTCCAGTACATTATTTCTTTTTGATTTGTTAACTTGCTTTTAATGATCCTTCAAAGAAAGGTAAAATCACAAATACCTTGGTTGCAGCAACAAAATTTCAAACGTTAGCCTTTTTTATCTGCTCTAGGTTTCATTGTTGATGCTTTTTAGTCAAATTGCACCCTTTGGCCAGAATTGCCCAAATTCAAAACATTGGCTGGAAGCATAGTTCCTGCGCCTCTGATTTAAGAATGTTTCTTTAATTTAAAGGTGACTCTTCTCACCTCCTGCCCATGGAGTAGTTCAAAGGACTAATCCTCTGGACTCATTAGGAGCAACCACAATGGAGAACAATAACAAAAGAATTCCCTTATTGTGTTTTCAGATGAACCTGTTGGACTGTAACCTGGTGTCATGCGATTTCTGACCTTATCCACTGCAGTCCAACACCGACACCTCCATATCACTTATTCCGATCATTAGCACATTCTTGACAATGAACTCTAATCAAGATCAAAATTTGATGTCATCTTTCCAATGCATCTTGGAATTGTGTGATAAGCAAAAGATATAAATTGTCTTAATCCCAAACTTACCACGTCTCTACATAATCCTGGCCAATGAAAATGCTTCAATATTTTAGCCTGAGCTTTCCTAATAGCCAAGCATCCAGCCTTTGGAATTTCATAACCTACACATATAAACTGCAATACTCAGATGCAACTACCACTTGACAATCCTCTGTCCATTCCCCATCAGCTGGTGTTTGAAGTGATCTTTATTTCCTCATTAATATTTTGCTTTTCAAGTAATAACACTCAGATTTTGATTCTGATTCAATTTCTGGTACATCTCTTTCAATGCTGAATCAGTTTATGGCATTTCTATTACTGAAGATGGGCTAAATACATCCCACTCATGGCCTTTACTTTTGTCCTTTTCAGTTAGATTTCTGAAAAATGTATCCAACAACAAAATTTCCAAAACATCTCCCTGCTTCACAGAAAGCATGAAAAGAATGAGTGTATGGGCCTGAGATCTAGCCACAGAGTCCGAAAACAATCCAGGCTATTGCTCTTATAGCACTTCCGTTTCTTTTATCACAGCTGGTTCTTCCGTCACCCTTGGTGAGACCAATTTCCTAGAATCTGCCAGGTCATTTCTGAAAATAAAGCTAATTGCTTCTATTAGAATGCGCTTCACAATTCCCAGTAATATTTCACCAATAGTGTGGTTTGTAATCTCTGTGCATACCAGCAACTAATATTCTTCTTTCATTGAACCCTCTAGAAACCCAAAGCTGTCATCAGTGACTGGCTTGTTCAAGTGTGTCTCAATATTTTTAATGGTTTACCACCTTGATTCAAAGCAAAAGGAAATGTTCTGAGGAAGAGTCACTGGACCCAAAATGTTAACTCTGTTTTTTCCTTCACAGATACCGCCAGACCTGCTGGGCTTTTCCAGCAACATTGGTTTTGAAAAGGAAATACCTCCCCTTTTTGAGATAAAATACTCAGACCCTCCAAAAAACTGATTTTCCTTGTCAATATTTGAAGAATAATTTTCATGACTACCCTGAACTATTTCTCCCTTCTTAGCAAATTCAAACAAAATACATTCTTTAAACTACTGCTAGTTTCAACATCAATTTCCTTTTCTCATGTCCCACTTTCTGAAGATTCCTTGGAGATTCGATGACCGCAATCAATCTTCCATTTAACTTCCAGCAGTTGGCTTTACTATGTCCAGTTTATTACAATGGATGTTAATTGCTTTATATTACTGCTTGAGTTCCAAAATTTCTCCTTTATTATTTCGGCATCCTCTTGTTTTCTAAAACTAATACCTCTTCCATCTATAGGTTTTCTTTTCCCTAACTTCCTTACGAATTTCCATATGACCGTCTCCCCACCTGTAAATGTCTGGGAGAGATTAGCTCTAATAAAGATGGCTGTCTGTAAATGTAAATAATCCTAGTCGATTGCTTATCATTAGCAAAGTTACTGTCATCAGATTAATAACCTTTACACTGACTGCAAGTATGTGGAACAATTCTGGCTGCCTTATTTAAGGAAGGATGTCAAAGCCCGAAAGAGTGAAAAGGAGTTTTACTAGAATAATAGCAGGAATGAATAATTTTAGATACATTGAAAGAGTGGAAAAAGCAGACCAACATTCTCCTTGGAGCAGAGAAGATTAAGAAGTGGCTTTGTTGTAGTTTCAAAATTATGAACAATTTTGATGGGGTAAAGAAGGATGTTCTGTTTCCACTTGTTGGTATGGGAGAGTAATGGAGACATATTTCGTAGAAGGGTTTTAAAAAGGAAGAAGAGCTGGACCTGGATATATATTTGAAAATGATAAATTCAGAGAGAGCTATGGAGAATGGGCCTAGCTGTACAAACACAATGGGCCAAACAGCCTCCTTCCATACTGTAAAATTCTATGAGGTATATAAAAATAAACATTATGGAACCAAGTTACCTCAGTGCTACAGTCAGATTGAGAGGGTTCCCGGGGAAAGTCACAGATGTGGCGCTTACTTTATGGATGTAGCACATATTCTCTAAAAATACAACAGCAAACTGACCACTTAAGATAATTAATGTAAAAATAAATTACTTACTTTCTTCATACCATAAGAAGGAAGTTTCTCCCGAAATCTCTGGAGAAAATAAAATAGAATAATACAGATTAAGAAATTATAATATTACTGTCATCATATATAAACAACTAAATCAAGGCAGTTCAATTCTGACTAAAGTGCTCCACAGGTTTGCCTACAGCTGTTCAATAAATTGTCTGCATGTAGTTTTTATAATGTCAACGTGATGTTTTACTTTGGCTGATTGGATTCAAGATTGGACTGTGCCTAGCACCAAGAGAAACAAAATTAAAACCCAGAAACGAGATGTATTGGAAATATAAAAGCAATTCATTAGCTAATCACAGATTTCCTTCATGACCATTGCCTAGGCCTTAAACTGTGGAATTCCCTCCCAAAACTTCCACATTCTTCGAAGCAATGTGGTTCAGAACCAAATCCTATTCTTGGTAAATCATTGCTGTGAAGTATATTGAGACTTCTTATGGCTATGTTGAAGGAACCATATAAGTGAGAGCTGTTACTGAGGTTTCTGTTGCGAAGAAAAATTAAACAGTCCAGTTTTAGACTCTTCAACTCATTAATGTCAATTTTTTCCTCTAACCAGAAGTTGACAGAATGGTACAATTTTCCCACTATTTTCTGTGGGAGACATCAGCTTGGTAGCACATGTAGCTTCTTGAGATTCTTGAGACATTAACAAAGATATATTCAGATCCAACTGGAACCCCTACAGGAGAGCTTCTCAAAGATATTAAAAAATAACCATTGAAAAGAAAATAAATCTTACTGAAAACTACCCATCATTCAGACCATCTGGTTGTCTATTTAAAATAATAGTACATTATGTCAAATGTTTCTACAGACACAACATAACGGGCTACGTCACATGAATTCTCTCTTCAGCTGGAAGCTAATTTTTCAAAGTACTATTGATCAATTACTCATGAAGAAGTCACTGGCAGGCTCTACAGAAACAGCAGGTGATGTCAGACTAATTGGATACCTTTAAAGAACCAGTACAGGCACAATGGGCCAAAGGGACTCTTGTTACATTGTGATTCTAACTCTAGCTCAATGACGATCCTCTTAAAATTGCCTTTCAATTGTCTTAGAGAGACTTTTTATCTCCTCAATTTCCTATAAGATTCTTCTTTGCGCTCTGAAAGAAGCTTTTGAATTATGTACAGCTTTATGACGTGGATGACAACCAAGGAACCTACATGAGCTCAGTTCACATAGAATGCCTACAAGCAGACGAAAGACAACATTTGCTCATGAATTTGGATGAATTTAAAACCAGGTCCAAGGGTGAAAGCACAGTGCATTTAACCAACTACACCAGAAAGTATACCAAATTCTCTTTCAAGCAGCTAGTAATTCTACATGTAATATCAAACAGGTAGCATGGAATGTGTTACAAATCAGTGATACTTACTTGGATAGGAAAGAAATACAAATTACGAACGATTAAGGGTTGGGCTTCACAGGTTAGACCATAGATTGATTCTGTTTCTCAGCATTTATTCTTTGTGACATACCATCATCTTGATTGATCAAAACACCAGCATCATTACCTTCATATCAAGATATCTCAAGCTAGATGTCTTCTTCATAAGTTCTTCCTTTAGCTCCTCATCCAAAAACACATCCTGAGTAATGGTTTCGAAGAGATACTCTAGGTCAGCACTGGTCTCTGGTTTAGTTTCCTTGTTGGTTGATGAGGAGGGGCATGCACTTCTGTGGGTGGTGGGGAGGGGAGGGGGGAAAAATAACATTCAGAAACCTGTCAGAAGTTTGCTAGAGTGAGCAGTGAGTTAGAAAACCAGCTAATCTGCTTTGGTGATGCTGGCACAAAAATAAAGTAGCACATTTTTTCTGCGCTTTCCATAGTCTTAGGATATATTGTAAAGTACTCTGGAATATCAAATATTTTTCATTGGCTTAGGTTTCCCTACATTAAACAATTTGCAAACATCAAGGTCCCACAAAAGTGAATGAGATAACTAAGCAGATAATCTGCTTTATTGATGTTAAGGTTAAATCTTAATTAAGACATCAAAACTCCGTCCTTTTTTAATTCTCCCATGGGATATTTTGTATCCACCTTAACATACAAATAGGACCAGGGTACCCTCGCCAACTTCTCAGCCAAAAAGTAGCAATTCAAATAATGCAGTTCTCAAACTACTTTGCACCCGTGTGCCATGCTGAAATATGTGCTAAATCCAAACAGCCTCAGAGGAAACAGTGCCATTAATAAGCTACATCGTGGGGTGATTTGGAAATGCAAGGCATGTATAACAGTACCTGAAAAGGTAGGTTAACATCATAGGCAGACACTTTTCATTTTTGTTAACCACTTCGATATGTATTTTGAACACGTGCTGTTTAATTTCATAGTTTCAGCACTTGCCTTCCATCTTGACAAAACTTAGTTTTTGCCAAAACTAAAATCAACAATGCTCACTGTTATTCAACTGTCCAAAAACAGGTACTCCCTTCATTACATATTCCTTCACAAATATTAGCCACCTTCTCCTTGAGGATTCATTGGCAAAATGCAATAGATGCTAAAATATATTCTGCCTTGCTTCCCAGGAGGGCATAGTCTACAAACTCTTATCAGCCAGGCCTGCAGTGAATCCCATTTTATCCCTCCGTGTTCAGGTCAAGATTAATAGAACAGAAGTTTATATTCACCCAACTTTAACAGGTCAGGTTAAGACAAAACGTCATTTATCACTGCACTGCATAAAATATACTTTCAATTAATTTGGAGTGGCACGTGCACCCTTCTGGAAATCGTAAGCAGGAAAGGAGGGTGAATATTTAAACTAGATAAAAAGGTGGAACAAGAACAATCACACAGTAAATTTAAAAGCTTTTGACAAGACTAGATATGGGCACAAACAGTTAAATAATTGTTCTATACGTTCCTACAATTTTTTAAAAAAACATAAAATCATTCACAAATGTGGACCTCACTGGAAAGATCGCCATTTAATGCCCACCAGCTGCCCTTATGAAAGTAGGGTTCTTGAACAACTGTGGTTGATCTGGAGAATATTCCCCTTATTGCTGTAAGGCAGGAATTCCAAAATTCAAATCCAGCACTGAAGGAAGCGGTGTTAACCTTATAAGTCTGCTGACCTTGTGCTTCATGGTGGTAGAGGTCAAGTTTGGAAGGTGCTTCTGAAGAACGCTTAATGAGTTACTGTAGTGCATCTTGCAAATGGTACAGATTGCAGCCACTGTGTGCTAATGGTAGTGGGAGACAATGTTTCAGGGGTGGACGGATTGTTGCTGAAGCAGAGTTTTGTCATACATGAAGTTTGAGCTTCTGGAGTGCTGTTCAAGTGACACTCATCCACACAAATCAAGAGCATTCCCTTAACTATGACTTGTGCCTGTAATGGTCATCAAGATTTATGGAGTCAGGTCATTGATTACTCACTGCAGAATTCCAAGCCTCTGATTTGCGCTATCAGCACAGTTTGCATACAGGTGGTAAACAGTTTCTGGTCAACACTAACTCCCAGGATGTTGATAGCAACATTTTGTTTATGTTTGGACCAAAACATAAGATGAGATATGGAGCAGAGTGATTTTTTCCAAATCCAAACAGAGCACAGGTGAGCTGTTTATTGGTGTCTCAGTGCTACTTGACAACATTGTCAATGGCACTTTTCATCACTTTGTTCATGATCAAAAACAGAATATGAGCTATTCATAACTGAACTGAATGTAGACCTTCTTGTGAATAGGACATATTTTCGTGCCAACGTAAAAGAAGTTTGGTGATCATTTTGGCAAAAAGTTAGCATCAACTTTTACCCAGGTAATATTTGAGGGACTTACTTTCAAATAAAAGATAATGTGATGTGTGGAAAAACTTGTTTAGTGTCCTCATGAATTAGGTAAATGTGTACAAACATTCAAGAACAATAGCTGAAAATATTCCTTTAACTAGTGTGATGAATTTTCAACTGGGCATGAGGTTTCCTCTCTTTCACGGAGCATGGTACTCAGTTCCGGATCAGTTTTTACTGTACTCATTGAGCATTAGGCAAAAAAAATGACCTGTCAACGAAGCGCAACCACCAAAATCCAACTGACACGTTAAACTTGAGCCCACTCTCATATGCTCCTACCTCAAGGAGCCTCCTCAAACCCATGAAATGGGAACAATGACATTATTTGGGCCTGCGATTGCAATGCTGATCAGGGCTTGGGGAAGGTAGGGTCATGCCATTGGAAAATATCACACCGCCTTTGACTTGCTGCAGGGGGTTTACTGAGTTTGGACTCATGGGTACTATTTTTGTGAGTAATGAACTGAGGCGGATGAAGGATTTTTGGCCAAAAATCAAGGGTCGACTTGTGCACAATCTCCATTAATAATGAAGCAGAGATTTGATCAGACAAAGTCTTTTAGATAGTTTAGCTTTGTCTATAGCATGCTGTTTCCACAGCTTAGCATACTGGAGTTCTGTGTTGTGGCTGCATCAATCTAATACCTCACTTTTAGGTAATCTAGGTACTACTTCTAGCATGTTCTCCTGCATTCCTCATTGAATAAGGTTAAGAGTTGCATGGTAACAGTGGAATGAGGAAAATCCTAGGCCATAAACTTACTAATTATGGAGATAATGATGCCCACTGCTGGATGTGTTATGAATCAATCCCATTTAGCACAGTTGTCGGGCGATGCAACGAGGTGGAGACTAACCTTACCGTGAAAGCAAGATTTTGTAGACACCCCACTGAGTCTTTTCTGTTCTTTTACTATGCTCACTCAAGCAGGGAAGGCAGGAGGTGATGATCAACAGAAGGTTTCCTTGCCCTGATGTGACTTGACCATGAGGCTTGGAATCAATATCGAATTCCCAAGATCACTTCCTCTCTACCGTATCCCAGCGTGCTGCCAGACCTGCTGGGTTTGTCCGGCCAATGGTGCAGGACCTAACCAGGGATTGGGATAGTACTACTTGGGACTTTAGCTGAGAGGTATAGGAATATAGAATTTAGGAGCAGGATTAAAGAGGCCATTCAGCCCATCGAGTAAATTGCACTTTTAGAACATAATTGATCTGGCTGTGGTCTCAATCAGTCTTCCCTCTATTGTTTTATAGTGATGCATAGATCAGAAATTGTTGAAGCTTCAAAACTGATCCCTGTTATTTCACTAGTTACAACTGCAAACCAGAAAAAGCCCCATTAACCTCTACTGTTTGCTAGCCAATCCTCCATCCATGCTAGCATATTCCTCCCTACACTCTTAACTGCACAACAACCATAGATTTGGAACCTCATCAAATGTGTTTTGAGAATTCAAAGTACACTACATTTTCTGGTTCCCCTCTATCACCTTTTGTGTTACTCTCTCTAAAAACTTGAATCAATTTATTAAGCACGAGTTCCCTTTCACAAAGCCATGGTGACTGTGCCTGAGCATAGTATGATTTTCTACGCAACCTGTTATAGTTTCCTTAATGGATTCTAACAATTTCCCTCTGATACATGTTAGGCTTACCAACCAATAGTCATTACTTTTTATTGTTGCTGATTCGGTGAGTATGTTTTGTCAGGTTGTTGCTTGAGAAATCTGTGGTATAGCTCTCCCAATTTTGACACAAGTTCCCAGATGTTAGTGGGGAGGACGTTGTAAAGTCGTCTGTGCTGACCAATCTTTTGTCATATACAGTACATGGATTGATGCAGGAAACCCATCCGATTTCATTCTTATTCCTCATTTTAGTAGTGGCTTGCCCACAGCATTCCCTCCAGATTGGATGCATGGAGCCCCACAGTAATCCAGGAATTACCATGGGAAAAGGCTACATTAGATTCGAGTGTGACTGCCATGCTGGTCTTTAACTAATCTCAGTATGAGCTTCCTAGAAAAACCTGTAGCTTACTGCTCAATAAGGTAACTGTTTTTTTTCAAAAATGCATTACACTAATATGTGCACCGTAATAGAGGATGTGAATGCAAAATGGGCGTTTCTTAGAGAAACGCTCCCAAAACAAAAGCTGACCAACTTGCCTCCAGTTCTTGCTAGAGTCGGCTGACAGTGAGGCACGCTGGTCTTTGTAATCACTCCGTGTCTGGACAGAATTCAGCAGTCGGGTGATGTGCTCTTCTCTTGCTTCATCCATCTGCACAACTGCCCTCTACAAGGCAGAAAGGGCAGAATAATATTTTAAAACATGTCAGCTCATTTAAACTGAAGTATCTTAAATATGCAAAGAATAATTACAATTGTTAAGATTGCCAGGCCTGGCAATGGTCATTGATCTGACATGTCAATTGTGTTTTCCTCTCCATAGATGCCATCTGGCTACTTTTCTGCAGCATTTTTGTTCTAATTTAAGACTTGTAGCAGTATTTTCCTTATGTTTTAGAATTCAACTAAATGATCAACTCACTAACTACAGTAATGATGAATAAAATATTTGTTCAGGGATCAGTAAGCTCTGTTGGCTGAATGGCTAGTTTCTGAAGCAGAATGACACCAACAGCATGAGTTTGATGTTGATATTACCATAACCCCCTGCCTTCTCAACCTCACCCCTTGCTTGCGGTGTGTGTGATGACCCTCAGATCAAACTTGCCACAGTCGGATCTTTCAAATGAGTTAGAATAGTCTCTGGGACTGTGGCGACTTTTATTTGTTGAGGTAAGTACGGAAAAGGTGGAAGAAAATGAGGAAAAAGAGACACACTTTGAAAATTACAGCTAGGCCTTTCAGGTGCAAAATCAGGAAATACTTCCTTACACAAAAGATGTCACTTTTTTTTGTTAAAAATTCATTTGTGAGGCGTGGATGCTGCCGGTCAGGCCAGTATTTATTGCTCGCATTGTTACCCTTGAACAAATGGTAGTGAGCTGGCTTCTTGAACCACTGAAGTCTTTGTGCTGTAGGTAGACACACAATGGTATTGGGGAAGGAATTCCACAATTTTGACACAGCGACACTGAAAAATCAGCAATATATTTCCAAGTCAGGATAGTGAGTGGCTTGGCCAGGAACTTGCAGCTGATGTTCCCATGCACCTACTAACCTTATCCCTCTAGATGCAAGTGGTTATGGATTTGGAAGGTGCTGTCCATAAAGCTTTGGTCAATTTCTGCTACTAAGCATTGGTGAATGACTGAATGCTTGTGGATGCAGTGTCAATCGAGCTTTGTTCTGGATAACGTCAAGTTTCTTGAGTGCTGTCGATGGCAATGCCATTGAAGGTCAAGGGGCGATGGTTAAATAGTCTTATTCTTGATGGTCATTGCCTGGAATTTGTGTGGCGTGGATATTACTTGCTACTTTTCAGCCCAAGCTTGGATATTGTCCAGATCTTGGCATATTTGGACATAGATTGCTTCAAAATCTGAGGAGTCACAAATGGTGCTGAGCAATATGCAATCATCAGCGAACAACCTGCTTCTAATGTTACGTTGGAGAGAAGGTCATTGATGAAGCAGCTGAAGATGATCTGGCTTGGGACATTACCCTCAGGAACTCCTGCACAGATGTCCTAGGATGACAGACTGCCAACAACAAAGTGTCACATATGACTTCAGCCATGAGAGAGTTTTCACCTCTCATTCCCATGTACTCCAGTTTAGCAAGAGTTCTTTGATGCCAAACTTGGTCAAATGCACAAACGTGGAACACACTCCTACAAAAGGTTGTGAATTCAGGGGAGCAACTGTATCGTTCAGGTGTGTAGTAGATATTGTTAGACAAAGTTGTCAAGGTTGATGGAGCATGGACGGGCAAACAGATGTTGGGAACAGCTCAGTCACAATATAATGAATTGCAAAGAGGGTTCAAGAGGCTAAATCTCCTCCTTCAGCACCTAAATTTCATAATGCAATGAATTATAATATTTCTACAGTTCAAAGGCAATCAGTGACAGATACAGTTGGTCAACAAGAGAAATCTTTTCTAAAAATTGTCAAAGAATACTGTCTGTGTTTTTGTCATAAAATTCTGGTTTCAGACAGAGATCTTCCAAATGACTGGATAAACCCAGGACACATCCCCCATCTCAAACAAATGTAAACGATCCCATTGTAACTAGACAAAGTAGGGGAGGAAAGTCTCACTGTCCTGATCAACATTTTCCCATTAAGATCGATCTGTTAGGTAATTTATCATATTGTACATGGCAAACTTTCACAAACTGATTGCCTCGCTTCCTTACATGAGTGATAACAGCTCAAAAATAATTGGTTTCAGGCCTTTGAACTCGGCTCATGAAAATATCAATGCCAATTCTCTTCCTTTCCTCTCACAAAATTGGTAACAATGTAACGGGGGAGCAGTCCTTTTCCTCATTGATGCTGTGTTACATACTTTACCTCTTAATGAGGGGTCTGGAGACAAGGTGTGGGTTGGGGTTGGGGTGAAGCGAGATGTGTGGAGGCAAGAGGGGTTGAGAGAGGGTTAGATTTGGGAGAGGGGAAGCAGAAGGATGGAAGCAGGATGGGGGGGGTGGGAAGAGCTGGATGTTGGTGGGGGAGGGTGAAAGTGTGGATAGGGAGTGAGTAGGTATAGATGGGGATGGCTCATGGAGGGAGTTGGGTGTGTGGGTGATGTGAGTTGGGGGGGTGGTGTTTAAGTGGGTTGAGGAGTGAAGAGATGAGTGGGATAAGTTTGGGGGCGATAAATGGATTGGGTGTTGCGGGGGTGAGTGGACTGGGGATGAGGGAATGGGGGAGGGCAGAGTGGGTCGGGGATGGGGGCACAATGGGTCAGGGATGGGGCAGGGCGAGATGGAGTTGAAGGGGAGTATGGCGGACCGGTATGGCCCGGCCCGCTCTCACCTCACTCCGCTCCTGCTCCTTGCTCTTCTGGCCCTGCCGCTTGGCGTACCACAGGCCGATGTCTTTGCCTTTCAGGTGCGCGGGATGCCGGCCCCGGCCTCTGCCGCCCGCCGAGTTTTCCCATCCTGCCGAGGACGACCCTCCTCCTCCGCTGCCGCCCCTCCAGTCCCTCCGGTAACCCGAACTCATGGTCTTGCCGGCAGCGAAACGCGCCCAGAGCCGGGAACCCGAATAACTGCCAACCACCGGGAACCGGGAGAGAAACCCCCACGGCGCGGCCTGATGGCATCACAAGCGGCTGTCGCCGGTTACTGACGTCACAAAGGGTTCTGGCCTGCCCGCCTAACGTCATACCCACAGGCACTGTATCCAACGGGAACCCCCCCATAATCCCCAGAATAATACCCTCAAGGCCATTCCTCCCAACAGGAACCACACCCCCAACATTATACCCTCAAGGCCATTCCTCCCAACAGGAACCACACCCCCAGCATTATACCCTCAGGGCCATTCCTCCCAACAGGAACCACACCCCCAGCATTATATCCTCAGGGCCATTCCTCCCAACAGGAACCACACCCCCAGCATTATACCCTCAAGGCCATTCCTCCCAACAGGAACCACACCCCCAGCATTATACCCTCAAGGCCAATCCTCCCAACAGGAACCACACCCCCAGCATTATACCCTCAAGTCCATTCCTCCCAACAGCAACCACTTTTCCAGAATTATACTCTCAAGGCCATTCCCCCCAACAGGAACCATCCCTCAGAATTATACTCTCCAGGCCATTCATCCCAACAGGAACCACCCCCACAATAATACCCTTAAGGACATTTCACCCCATGTAAAGGTCAGTGCGCCATACCACTATGCCCCGCCCTTATTCGCAGGTTTGATGGTGAAGTTAAGGTTGGAGCGGAGGGAATGGAGGGTTGCGCATTTAGTCGTGGAGCGGTTGAAGTGAGTGAGAGGGGTAGAGAGATCGAGGCGATCAATGTCACGACAGGAGTTGGAAATGAAGAGGCTGAGTCCCCCTCCCACTCCCACTCCCACTCCCACTCTCTCGGTGACATGTGCGTCCTGGGCCTCCTCCAGTGTCACAATGACACAACCCCCAAACTGGAGGAGCATCACCTCATATTCCACCTCAGGAGCCTACAGCCCTATGTCCCCACCCCCTGTCTCAGACCCACCTCCTTGACCTGACAAAACCTGTCTATCTTCTCTCCCACCTATCCGCCCCTCACACCTCACTGACCAATCCCCACCACTCCCTACCTGCACTCACCTATCACCATCCCACCTACCTACCCCAGCCCCACCCCTCCTCCCTCTATTTCCCAGATCCCTTCCCCCTCCCCATTTCTGAAGAAGAGTCCTGACCCGAAACGTCAACTTTCTTGCTCCTCTGATACTGCCTGGCCTGTTGTGTCCCTCCAGCTTCACATTATGTTGTCTCTGACTCCAGCATCTGCAGATCTTTCCATCTCTTATTCAGACTTTGTGGTTTTTACCAGAGGCACCATTTTCTACAGAATGGTAAGAGAGTGCTAAATGTTTGGGCTATCATTGACATCAAGATGCAGCAAGAACAATTAACTGAGAATCTTAACCAGACAGGTAGATTCTGATTGGTCAGGGCTTTGCTGTGGGAATGTAGCAGAGTTTGGCTGTCTCCACAAAACTTTTTGTTGAAAAAGGTGCAATTTGTACAAATTCCTTTGGCTAAGAAAACAGGGTTCTTCACATACTTTCGTAACTAGCTTCTAGCACGTCCATCACTTTGTAGGCTTGGTTGATGATCTTAAATGTCCATGTGCTCTTTTAACGTTGCAGCTTATTTATCAGCATGCCATTCAAAGAAACCTTTGACATCTGCACTATGTCACTATATCATGGCAAACTTAATGTACCATCTATGCCTGACTCTGAGTTTATCGAACACATGAACTTAGCAACTCCTGCAGTTAGTTCAGTTCTAAGGACACCATGTATGCCCAAATAGATAGCATTGACATGAGATCCCCATTTATGCCCAGCTCTCGTTAACATTTTCATTGTTTATCATGAGAAGAGCACTAAGCCCCTATCCCTTTCATACTTATGCAGCATTTCAATGCATTTCTTTACAGAGCTTAATAAACTCCACGCTGTACTCAAATTTATCATTGCACTGGAGCAATCAAGTGAGCTCTCCTTCCTTGATGTGTCTACCAAAGATCTGCATTCACTGGTCAATATACACATGGAATTCCTACAGTCCCTTGCACACAACATCAATCTTATTGGCAACTGTGTGAAATGGGCCCTAGCCATCTTTTCAACGTGAAAGCTTGACATTGAGTTAGGGTATTTTTTTTATTCATGGGATGTGGGCATCAACATTTATTGCCCAGTCCGGATTACCCAGTGAGCAGTTGAGAGTCAATAATATTGCTGTGGGTCTGGAGTCACACAGAAGCCACACCAGGTAAGGATGGCAGCTTCCGTCCCTAAAGGACGTAAAGGAACTAGATGGGTTTTTCCCAACAATCAATTTTTGTTCATCATTCAACATTTAATTCCAGATATTTATTGGATTCAAAATCTCCCATCAGCCTTGGCAGGATTCAAACCCAGGTCCCCAGAACATTACTTGGGTCTTCGGATGAACAGTTCAGCATTAATACCACTTGACCGTCACCTTCCCGTCATATCAAAAATAGTTTGCATGATAATGCATACCCTGATCAAATGATCATTTCAGATATTGCTGAAACATATGAAAAGGCATTCCATCCATCACTTTTGGCCCTGAACCATTCATAGTTTACCTCAGATTACCTTGGAAGGGGAAAGTGTCTCAAAAATTTGAACAATGGGTGAAGCTACCTATCTCATGCATGAAGTAAAGCCACGTGAATTTCGTTCTCCATTAAATGGATGCTGCCATTAAGCCAAAATGACATTTTGCCTTCCACACACATGAGAAATAAGATATTTGAGTTCTAATGCCAGTGTGATGTCACGTATGTAGGCTGCACGTCCCAACAACTGCTGGGCTATATCAAACAATACATCCCATTAATTATTTGTATGCCACTTAGCGCGCAACCAGCTTGTGTCTGCAAGCCATGGAAAAGTATATGTACCTTTAGATGTGATTATGAAGTTGGAAATCATTTATTAAATAATCTGGACTCAGTATGATGCATTTGAAACAGGGCTATGTACATACGTTGCACAGGGTCATGAACACAGCCAAATATCGCTATATTCCAATGACAACATCCAAACCAATCAGAATCTATGTCCCTTGTCTGGTATTTAAGATTGACAGTTAACTGTCCTTGCTGCATCGCCATACCAATTATGGTCCAATCAATCAACACACTTTTCTAATTCTGTACAAAATCTTTTTCAAATCTGTTTTCTGCATCCTAGTTCTGACAAGTGCATGATGAAAAATTTCAACATTTGGAGATAGTGGAAACTGCCAATGCTGGAGAATCTGAGATAACAAGGTGTAGAGCTGAATGAATTCAGCAGGCCAACAGCATCAGAGGACACGTTTCGTGTCTGGACCTTCTTCAGAAATGGCATCTGGACTCTCTTTAGCAACATTTAAGTACTGCGCTACCAAGCATTTATTTGCATCTTTGGTTCCTCCTACTAGAGGGGACAACCTTGCATTTTCCACATTACATTCCATCTGCCATGTTCTTGTCCAGTCACTAAGACTGACTAAATCTTTCTAAAAACATTGTTTATCTTACTTCCAACACATGGGATTATGCCTTATTCGTATCTTAAATCCATCTTGACCTTGTAACTCTCTGACTGTTTAACAATAGTCAATCATTCTCAATTTTGGAAGTGTCAATTAATCCCCAACATCAGCAGCTTTCTGGGCATGAATTCTCAAACTTTCACTATCCTTTTTAAAAATAAATACATCCTAGCAACATCCCATGAAGATGTGAGTTTTGATTTTCAGGTTATGCTGCCTTGTCCTGGACTCCTCCAACAAAGAAAATCAGACCCTAAAAATATCCTATAATCATCTTGAAACCTTCAATTAGATCACCAGTTAATCCTCTAAATTTAAGGGAATAGAAGCCTCGTCAACCCAACCTGTTCTGACACCTTTTGACTCTTTTACCACCATTACCAATCTGGTAAATTTGTGCTGTACACTCTCCAAGGCTATGACTGTATATTTTTCCGAAAGTGCAGAGCCCAGGACTGGACACAGTTACTCCAGATACAATCTAATCAAAGATTTATGTTATAACTTCTACACCTTTCATATTTCAGTCCTCTTGACATAAAGGTCAACATTTTATATGCCCTTTTCATTATATTTTACCTGTCCACCCACTTTTAATGATAAATCCTCATAGTTCATTTTGTTGCTGCCCCTTTAGGTTCATAGATCGTAGAATCCTTACAGTGTGGAAACAGGCCCTTCAGTCCAACAAGTCCACGCCGCCCCTCAGAGCATCCCACCCAGACCTATCCCTCATAACCCACCTAATCTACACATCCCTGGACACCAAGGGAAATTTAGGATGGCCAATCCACCTAGCTTGCACATGTTTGGACTGTGGAAGGAAACTGGAGCACCCGGAGGAAACCCACGCAGATTAAGTTAGAGACATAGAACATAGAACAGTACAGGCCCTTCGGCCCACGATGTTGTGCCGACCTATTATCCTACTAAGATCAATCTACCCTGCACACCCTACATTTTACTATCCTCCATGTGCCTATCCAAGAGTCGCTTAAAAGTCTCTAAAGTATCTGACTCCACTACCTCTGCTGGCAGCGCATTCCACACGCCTACCATTCTCTGTGTGAAGAACCGACCTCTGACATCTCCCCTATACCTTCCTCCAATCACCTTAAAATTATGCCCCCTCATAACAGTCATTTCCGTCCTGGGAAAAAGTCTCTGACTATCCACTCTATGCCTCTCATCATCTTGTATACCTCTATCAAGTCACTTCTCATCCTTCTTCGCTCCAATGAAAAAAGCCCTAGCTCCCTCAACCTTTCCTCATAAGACCTTCCCTCCAGTCCAGGCAGCATCTTGGTAAATCTCCTCTGCACCCTCTTCTAAAGCTTCCACATCTTTCCTATAATGAGGTGACCAGAACTGAACACAGTATTCCAAGTGTGGTCTAACAAGAGTTTTATAGAGCTGCAGCATAACCTCATGGCTCTTAAACTCAATTCCCCTGTCAAGGAAAGCCAACACACCATACGCCTTCTTTACAACCCTATCAACTTGGGTAGTAACTTTGAGGGATCTATGAATATGGTCCCCAAGATCCC